CTTTTGTATCAAGTCCCAATAATATTTACTATATTATTATCGTATCTGGTACAATAAAGGATAAACAAATAATATTAGTTTAGATTTACACCCGAAATTGAAATAAAAAAAAACGCATAACCACAACTAATGGATCAAACATAGTAGTAAATCTTATCGATTACAATATAATAATATATTTTTTAATATCGCATAAAATACACAAAACAATATAGTTACATCCAGAGTTGACTCTTTTTAGGAAGTCCCTTAAAAACATAATTATATAGAAAACGTTAATTAACATTCGTGACAAAATTACCATAGTATCGCATGGTGTGCCACGCCTTTTGGTTAGACAATAAATTAGGCAGACTGAAACCATACATAGTCAGCGTTGGTTAGTTTAGAAAATACTGTACCGATTTGGAGTCACTGTGACGTAATAATATTTATGTTTGATGTACATCCTTGTATTGTAATACGATACCCATGTAGGGTTGTCACGTGTCCCGGTTACCTTCGTTATTTGTTTTGGTAAAGGGACAGTGAGCGTTCCAATTTTAAATTAGCTGTTGTTTGCGATTCTTTCCATGTTAAAAATGATTTCACATATTATATAAATAGATAGATACTCTTTATTGTGTCCTCCAAAAGATTACAGTAATAAACTTATTATAGATACAAACAATTACAATAAATGATCACAGTTAAAAAACAATGGGCGACCTTATCGCTGAAAGCGATCTCTTCCAGGCAATTTTTGGATGTATAGGAGTTATAAACTAGGAACTAGGAAGGAATTATAAACAGTTTGACTGGATGTACTATGAAAATACTATCATATATATATATATATATATATATATATATATATAAGAATTAACTTGCACGAAACGATGGGCATAACTGCTGCTAATTACAAGTCTTTATAAAAATATCGCGGATATAGAGAATAGTTATAATTGAATTTTTCATGATTATCGTAGGATCTGCACGAAACATGAGAAAATTAGGTTTTAAATCTTTAACTTAAAGTTCAGTTTCCTACAGCTTAAATGAGCCCTGAGTGTTATATACAGAGAAATTGAAGCCCTAATGTTATGACAGCCCTATCTATATGCAACTAAAAGTACACCCACACGGCGTTTAGCATTCGAAACCCGTTTGATAAACGGACACCTGGTTTCACTTTTTGCAATCGGTCGAGAAAGACAAAGCCTGTGACTTATTAATTGTAATAAAAGGTTCTGCATTATAGTTCCAAAGAAATGTTACAAAAATATAGGTGTCTTCAGCGTTTGCGTTTAAGTTTACAGATTCGTTTAATGTGGGTCTTTTAAGGCTAACGTGAATAGGCATTATTTAAATTTGCGTGTAATAACCATAGACTTTATCTTTACTTAAGATCATGTGCATCTACGCGCTCAAATTTAATATAAAAAAAATTTGTATCTAACATGTGAAACATGTCAACACTGATTTTAAAAGGGTAGCTACCCTCTTAAAACATCATCAAAGCAAACTACTAACTGGCAACCCACCTCCACCCCCCTAGGGAGATGCCTATGTTCAGCAGTGGACAGTTAACGGCTGATAGTATGTCATCTTTAGCGAAGTTTTTTATCGTCATATACATTTTTTTTTGCGGAGCGAAATGCAACATACATATATTTTCCTTCGCGTCTGTTAAACCAGTTTAAAGCTAACACATTGTTTGTCTTGTTACTTAGCAGGTTTATATTTAAGCTCGAAGTAGTCATCTGTTGCAACAAGTTTTACAATTGAATAATAATTTTAGAATAATTCATCATCATCATCATCTAAATATCAGCCGTTAACTGTCTGCTGTTGAAAATAGACCTTCCCTTGGGAGGCCTTAATTAGGAGGTTTTACAAACTAATTGCTACGTTTGGCAGGCGGGGTGGCAACCTCAGTTATGCTTTGGTGATGTGTAAAGAGGGACGTTGCTGCCCATTTCTCGAATATTATGTCCCCTTAGTCGCCTCCTACGACACCTACGGGAAAGTAGTGGGCCATTTATTTTAGAATGAATTTTCAATAATAATTTTAGAATTCGGTATGACCACTGTTACAGGAAAAGCAATATGTTGTAATTTGAAATTTTATGTTATTTTAGATTAAATACCCAAGTTTAGATTGCAGTCAATTGCAGTTTTGTCTTTGTAAATTCATTAAGTTTAACTATCTGCGGTATAGTCGACAGATGTGAAATGTGTTCTTTCAACGCACTTATATCGATGTTTTTTTTAATGGGTGGAAATGGAATGGTAACCCCGCTTGCGCTATCGGTATACGCTGGCGGGGCACCAGTGATAGATGATAGGTGAAGATGAAGGCAGGTCAATTAGCCCATCGTGAAGAAATCATAAAGGATTAACCACAATCGTTTCCAGGAGGAACCGTGTGGAGGTCGACCTGATAGGGTGTATTGTTAGCAATGGGCTATTAGAACTCATTACTAACAATCCCTCCCCCCCCCTATATCGATGCTTGCTCCTTATAATTGTTTACTTTCATACTAAGGATTGATTTCTATTATTATTTCTGTTCGTTTCAATTATAATACTCCACTGTTCTATGCTTTGGCTGCACTTTATATATAGATAATGCAGCCGTTTATTTCTCTCACCTTATCGCTGCATTACCTGCTAAGATAATAAACTTTGAATAACAAGCACTCAAACACTCAAGTTTATTTTAATAGAAATAAATCAAGGAAAATTATAGCGCAATATTCCTCCTTGACTGTTCTGCTAGCAAAGTGTGAAGTATATACACGTATTAGCGGGCGATATAAGTATGTAAATTTTCAACCGACTTCAAAAAGGAGGTTCTCAATTCGGTTGTTATTTCATAACTCCGTCAGTTCTTAACCGGTTTGAAAAATTCTGAACTTGAAAAGATATATATGTACAGATTGGTTCCATAGAAGTTTTATCAAAATCGGTTCTCCATTTTTAGTTTTTAAATTAGAAATAACTTGTTTTGTCATAATTGAAGCCGGTTTTTTTTTTGTGGGAAACATTCTTTAACTTTACTGATAGGAAACGATAGGTTTATGATAAAATACTCTTTATAAGTGAGCTCCAATAGGAAGGGATTCCCAATTTATTTGTATTATTCGCGAGTTACTCGGAATCTTCGTCGATTCTGACAATTTTTTTTTTCAATTAACTTCCTTATTTATTTCTTCCCTTCTTTCTTATTTATTTTGTTGCTATATTTCTGCTTATTACTGAGCAATTGTAATTTTTATATTATTAATAACTAGATGTTTGCCCACTACTTCATACTCGTCGATTTCACAGATAGCAAAATCTATGAAGTAGACCAGTTCTAGATAGTGTGTCAACATATAAAACATATACCAGTTTTTAAGTTAGACTTTCAGGAATACAACTGTAAAAACCGCATCCACTTTTGTGCAGTAATTACACTTACAGACAGACAGACAAAATTTCTAAAAAATATTGTTTTTGCTTCTATTGTCCTTATTGAAACACTCATATAGGTTTTACTTAATAATGTCTCATATATAGTATATAATATATCAATTACTTACAGTTTTATTATATTAATAAGATAAAAATCAAATAATAGTACCACAAAGATAGTATATTACAGCATATTACAAACAATAAAGATTAGCAGGAAGGGGAACTTGGAAGGGAAGAGTTAATACAAGCTGCGGATCCTTTACGGCAGCATTTACAGTTATTATTCTTGTCAGGCAACTCGTAACCCTGTTACGTCAAATTGTCGTGACATTTTTACCAGCTGTCACCATGCTTCCTTACTATAGACCAACCTTGCATACGTAACGCGAAATCTCAAGCAATTTGAATGCTATTAATATCCATGCACGGTGAATGCACAAACTCATTTTGGAATTTTTTATTTCAAGCAAAAATATATCTTATACGAATCGTTTGAAGAAATAATTTTGTGGTGCGATTTGAAAACGTTCATTCACCTTATCGGTCAGTTATCTCGTGTTCGGGTAATTGAATCTCATACAGAAGTGCTTTATTGCATTTTACACTGCATATTGATTATGCGCTTAATTACTTTTTTATTATAATTCTAACAAGTGACCATATTATTAAATCTTTTATATTTTGAATTAGAAAGTTCCATACGATCATAATTACCAAATTTTCATACAATTAATAAAATAAATCAGTTACACAATTTTTTTAAGCGTTTTTATTTAATTGTCTGCAGAGGCAAGAGTAGACTTCTCCTATAATTAAAAAAAAAACGTTGTTAAATTGTCTTGCTATTTTCTATACGTAGTGGTATGCCCTCCAAGTCATTCAATTTACTCAGATGTTTGCCAACCTGGCCAGTTGGCTTCGTACACTCACATAGCAGGAGATGCGTATACTTTATTAGGAAAATCACGTTCATGGATAGGGTAGGATATTATATAACCGATTGTTAACAGAAGCAGTCCTAATTACATGCTAATCAATGTTTAAGTATGCTGCAGAAACCGGATGGACAGTACTATGATTCAACATTATGAAATATTTATCATTAGTAATTCAGTAATTATCACTTCAGCTATTTATTATCTACTACTCAACATAAGGTCCATATTCAGTTTTGTAGAACATATGAGATGTCCTGTAGACAAGAAGTGACTGTCCAAATTTTCTATTTATAATCAATTTCAATATATTATGTTACAACATAACAATGTCATGTTCCGTTGTACTGTACGCGACTTTCTCTTTAAGACTGCATCGATTATCGTTAAATCGGCAAATCTATATATTACTCAGGGCTGCTGCCATTTTAAGTTACACATTTTAAAAGGAGAGAGATTTTTTCTTTGGACACGTTGATAGTTAATCTAAACTGAACAACAGAATTTTTTATTCCAGTTGTTTCGATTTATTTCACAGCTGATGGTCAGAATGCCATATGGGAAAACTTAAAAAGACTTGCCTTTCAATTACTCTTTGATCAAATTCGATGTTATTTGTTTCAGATGAAATCGTCACGTTGCCAGACAAACACAAATTCGACTCGAGAACATACGTGAAACCGAAAAAACGAGTTCAGAGGCCGAGTATACAAAGCATCGTAGAGGTCGCTTCAAATCCATCGTCCATGTCTCCAAACCCCTCTCTTAACCAGTCCACAAACAAATATTTAACGTACAATAAATACAATATGCCACTGGGCCCAATCAGTCCAATGTTGAGATTAAAAACCTTCAACGTTGATACGAATACAGAAAACAGTCATGCTGTCAAAGAGTACGCAATGAAAAGAAGGAGTTTAGTTCAAGATGATGATCCACAGGTAAGTTCATTAACATTTAGTTGGGATAAAACTATATTGCTTAAAATTCCTTTTTTACCAGGAACTTCCAACATACTCTTCCGTCACCCATTGATTTATGACCTGCGTAGAAGAAGGATAATTTATCTCGGGACAAGCTTTATGTTTGTCTCGTTCGTCTAAGTTCTAAAATTGCATTCTACGACGTATACATTTTCTGCAACTGCACAATTTTGTTTCTGGACAGATTGTCTTTCGTTTCCGCAACCTTTGATTTGAGAGATTCATAGACTTATAATCGATGAGGTCTGCAGTCTGCAGGAATGTCAACAATTGATGAAAATTTTTTTGTCACCTCGTTTTTCATCATATCAGCCTTTAAGTGTCTACTACTGAACATAAGCCTCCCCCTTGGGTGATTTAGCCAGTAGTTGCGATGCTTGGCAGGCGGATTTGCAACCGCAGTTAGGCTTTAGAGATGTTCTAAGAGGGACACTGCTGGCCATCCCTCGCCCTCCCTTAGTCGGTTCTTACGACACCTAAGGGAAAGGAACGGGTGGCTTGTTCTACGCCGGGACATACGGACACCTCAATTTAATTGAAAATTATAATTATTTAATATGCTATATATAATATAATAACCAAATGCAAAAATTTTCAAATGTTACAAAAAGCTTGATAAGATGTAACTTGTGTTCGAAGCTTCACTTAATGCATTTGATGTTGGTAATATAGATTAGAGTGAAGCTTTCTAAATTCGTACATATGGTGATGTTTTTAAGATCGTTTTTCCAATGTGTATAAAATTAACAAGTTGAGGATTAGATAAGGTGAATGTCCTTAGCTAGATGATGTTGACTTGAGTCAAGTTTACAATTGTCGCACCTAACAAGATAATATGTTCATTAGCATATCAGCTGCAACCAAGATAATAATTAGAAAGATTATCATCTTATGTGAAATGTGATGACTACTAATTATTGATAAAGTATATATACCGTAAAGCAGTTGTGTTTGCATGGCTGTGTTTCGGTTTGAAGGGTGGGATATGGCGTGAATTTAATGGGTACGGAGGAATAACACCTGAGTCCTCAGGAATGGCAACGCATGGGGGGTATCATGAGCGAAACAGTATACTCTGTTATGTCCATGGTACTGTTCATGTCTATAGGCGACGGTTACCACTTTACATTAGGTGGGTCGTCAGCTTGTTTGCCATTCTAAGTTGTATAAAAAAAATTATTGCAAAATGTAACGACGAGAAGTTTTGATGCCATTTTACATGAAATATTTTCAGTTCTATTCAATGTTACATTGCCTATGCTGTAATTATAGTCAATCCTAAAGGACTGCCTTTGACTTTAGCTAAAGCCAAATAGTTTTTGATGTTAAATTGTAATGACGTACTGTATTAGGCTAATATCTTCGTCATTGGAGTCCCAAAATTGGGACGTTAGTGAACTGTTACACTGACGAATGATGGTGATGAATACGAAAGTACAAGTATTCTGGTATCGGAAGAGGCTTAGACCAATCTATAATGATCAGGATCAACAATTTTTTGAACCAGCAATTATACATGACACGAGTTTTGAAAATGGTTGAAGCAGGAGATGTAGAGTGCTTTAACATTTGGAGCTTTTTATCTCGCAAGAGAATTGTCTTGAAAATACCCGTAGGTAGATAGGTTTTTTTTTTAAATCTGGCTTTGCAAGTATAATATAATTTTTACCAACAACTTTGCCTAAGATGGTCACTAAGATATAGTCTGTACTGCAGCGGGTTTTCTTTCTGTCGTGTTGATAGCTAAATTAAACAAGATAGACCTGTCAGTCAACTTACAAATAGCTTGTAATACAAGATATTAATCATGTAAATACATCAGTGCATTTGCAAGGAATATTTCTAGTAAAATGATAGGTTAATAAAAGATCGACAAGTCAATGTTCAAAAGTGCTGACGTCATTGTATTTGTAAACCATGTTCGTAGCAGATATAGTAACAAACAAATGTTCAAATTTAAGATTTTGTTTTACAAAAAATAGTTACTTTAATTGTAATAAATTAATATGCGATCAACAGTTAACAACAACTTTGTACAAAAGTCGATTGCTTGGGTACCACTGTCCCATTCGTGATTCAACCGTAAAGCAGGTGTGTTTTGGTTTGAAGGGTGGGATATGTCGTGAATTTACAGGGTACAGAGGAATAACACCTGAGTCCTCAGGAATGGCAGCGCATGGGGGGTATCATGGGCGAAACAGTATACTCTGTTATGTCCATGGTACTGCTCATGTCTACAGGCGACGGTTACCACTTTCCATCAGGTGGGCCGTCAGCTTGTTTGCCATTCTATGTTGTATAAAAAAAAAGTTATGTTATTCCTCTGTACCCTGTAAATTCACTACCTTATCCCACCCCTCAAAACCGAAGCAGCCATGCAAACACGACTGCTTCACGATTGAAACACGAATGGGACAGAGGTGCCCATGCAAATGACTTTTGTATAAAGTCTCCCTCTGCTTAATGTCATGATATTCTGTATTCTTATTCTGTCATCATAAGAAGACTGTGTAACGTAGTTTATTATTGTTTTCTTGCGCACAGACGAAGCAAAACGAAATAAATATTACATCACTAGTGTATTCTATAATATCGACGGTGTTGATCATGGTTTATAAGAAACTATGATCGATCAGGTTACGCCAGGTCTATAGGCGACAGTTACCCCTCAACATCTGGTGGTTCATCAGTAGTTACAAGTTGTATACAACAAGTAGGTTTTGTTCTATAGAAAAAGTCTACTTCAATCGTGGCAAAGTCAGTTATTTTGATTAAAAATGATTAAAATTGAATTATTTGTAATAAAAAACTACGAAATCGATTTTGATTAAATTACTATGGAACCAATGTGATCGTATATCCTTTCAGATAATTTAAAATCCACATAAATTTATAAATGACGGAATTCTAAGGTTACAAATATAAAAAAAATACAACCGAATTAAAAACTTTTTTTTTTTATGAAGTCTAATCCTAACATTAAAATCACGCTCATGTGAATGAGAGCTAACACAGATTTATGTACTAATTTATATTTAAAAGTTCCACGACCGTGACTCTGAAGCGTCGGTTTACATAATAAATGAGATGACGGTCATTCTGAACTTCGCCACTGAATGTTGCAAAATGCGCGCTTTAAATATATTTCGCTGGAATATAAAATTGGTGTTAAAACCTGATCCGTGTTAACGGTGCAAAATGCATATTCAATATAAATATTAATTTTTATTAGACACGAGTTCAATGAACTTTTTTGATCAGTTATTAGTTGGTCTGCTCCGTGGGGACTCTATAGTTATTTGATTAAAGTTATTTTGTTTAATTCCGCCACTATCTATTAGTATGCGTGCGACTGCCAACATTCGAAGATTAATTACTATTATTTTTAATCACAGATGTTCTATATCCTTCCATATTATTAAAAAAACTGACTAAGAGCTTGTGGGACAGACATTAATTAATAGAATTAATAAAATCCAAAAAGTCCAAACGTAATAAACAAGTACATTATATTGCTTCGCAAAAAAAAAAAGACAACAGTCGTGAGGAAAATATTCAATGAACGACGAGATGTTTTTTAGACACATTAGTTTGAAAATATTTGAGTTTAGAATGCGGATCAAATTCAAATTGTCTTTACTTAAATAGACTTATTTACAAGCACTTTTAAATCGTCATTTCTTATGAATGCTTTATTTATTATATATTTATTAAAGAATAAATTTCTCATTTGACTTACAGTTTCCCAAAATATGCAATGAGCCATGTTACAAACTTAAAATTTTTTATAACATTTAGAAAATTAGATAATTGATCATCTATATATTGATATTTTTATAGGAATTTTATAGCGTGATAAGTGACAGCAAACTAATCTTTGATTTTCACTGGCTTAATATTTTAGAATGCTTTTATTACTTAGAAAAAATCTGTTTTATTTTGCTTCGTAAAGAAAAAAAATACTAGTAAAGATTAATAAAACTGCTTCTATCGTAAAAATATTAATATGAGCTCAAAGCGGATGTAAACCCCTTTCCATTCCTAAAATAATTGCTAATGTAATCATATGATACAGTCATAAAATATAAATTAATTAAAAATCTTAAAACCCAACCAAAAAACAAAACATAACTGGTCAAAGTCAGATGTCAAAGTTAGTCATATCAGTCAGAATGGTACTTTGTTCCTATTAATTCACATACATTACATTAAAATACTAACAATTGGTTACTAAAAATGGTAACGGATTCTAAATTATCATACGCAGAGTATCAAAATGATTCAGTTTTCTACAGATAAGGGTATGATTTATTGCTTATTTATTTTACTATAGCTCCGCGTACAAATCCGCGTAGGCTGTGAATATTTTTATACTACGATTATATTAATTTATTTAGAAAATGGTCTATAACATGTTTTTCTTTTAAAAGGTGTGTCTCTTTGGCCCACTAACAATGTACGTTACCGTCCTACATGTTCTACATACTATACATATATATACTATATATATATATATATATATATATATATATATATATATATATATATATATATATATATATATATATATATAAACTTGTCATTGTTGGATACAGACCTTATGACTGAAAGAGAAAAATATTTACCCATTCTTACCACTCTAGCTAGCTTAGCTTAGCTAGAGTCTAAGCTTTATAAGGAGCTTTTTTCGTGTTTTACTATTCTTGCATGAGTGTACTGTATTTTTTCCTCTTGGTTTGCTCTTACGGTATTCTAAGGATGAAAAGGAGTAATCTCACATTGTTTTCTGTCTCTGTTACGCGCGGATTAAAATAATGTGCAATAATTGAAGCCATAGACTAAATAATTATGCAGTATATACACGCACAGTTGCACATACAGGTCAAGTTGTAATTGTTGCAACATAAATTGTGCTCCTATCCTATAAGTGACAGATTGACTAATTATTTTGTAATAAAAAGTGTTTGAAACAAAACGTATACGTGATACGGATCTCTAGATTACACGTGTGTTTCTTAAACAAAATCTGCATATTTTGAGCCGAAAGAAGTAATACCTACTCGAACGATTCCTGGTTATAGTATCTTTCACCATCGCATCGCTCGCCATCGGTATCCATCCTCATACTTTAGAATCAGAATGGTCACGCACAGTGAGTTTTCAAAAGTGTTTTCTCTCGCGAACACTTAGAGTGTGGAATGATCCTCCTGTTAAGGCTTTCCCTAGAGATACTACATATATACAGCATGGGATTCTTCAAAAATACGCGTGGGTGACATCCCTGGTGACAGGCGTCCATAGGCTGCTGTAACGCCGTTTACCATCAGACAGGCCGTATGCTTTCTTTCTACCGTAGTGGTATCTAGTAGTTTGACTATGTATCGAAGCGGTTACCCGTATAAAGGTTAATGAACTAAAGTATAACTTTGGTTGGTCGACCTTTATATGGGAAAGGTTGGTTTATTAAGACATAAATTACTCAAACTTTGTCAGACGAGATTCCCGATGGGAGTAACATTGAGTTATAAAATTAGAATTGACAAATAGCCGTAATTACTCTTACTAATATTATAAATGTGTAAACCAGTTTGTTTGTCACTTCTTAGTGCTTCAAAGGCTCAATAAATTGTAATGAAATTTGGTATACCTGCACATAATATTTGGGATAGAGAACAATATAGGCAAACAAATAAATAATACATAACAATTATGTATTATTTATTTATGTATTAATATTTTAAGTATGTGAGGTATTTTTTAAAATTAAGGTATGATGAGGCTGACATATCCTTATAGGATATGTCAGCCTCTGAATAAAAAGTATAAAACAAAAATATAAGCTGCAATTTATTCTGATAAATTAATGTATCCTAGTCACGAGGGCGAAATTACGTGTAAAAACTAGTAAATAAATAAATTACCAAATATTGCTTCATCACCATCATATCAGCCGCCTACTGTCCACTGTTGAACATAGACCTCCCACAAAAGGGTGATCTTGCCAGTAATTGCTACGCTTAGCAAGCGGATTAGCAACCGCAGTTAGGCTTTGGTGATATTCTAAGAGGCCCGCTGCTGCCCATTCCTAGACCATTGGAGGGAGGAAGGGATTGTTAGTAATGGGAGGTTAGTCCTTATTGCTATCAATATACCCAATCAGGTCGACCTCCACGCGGTTCCCTCTGGTAACTATCGTAACTAATTTATCTAAGGCTTTTTAGGCTAACAGACCTGCCTTTTCATTCTCTCCTGTTATCCCTTACTGGTGCCCTGCTAGCGTATACCGATAGCGCAGCCACGGGTTACCATGCCATTTTCACCCGTTAAAAAATCCTTTGACCTTTAATTTCCCTTAGTCGCCTCTTACGACACCACCGGAAAGGAAGAGATGGCCTATTCTATACCGGGACCACACGGCAATTATAAATATTGCTTACTAAAAATTGAATTTATTTATTAAAAAATGTTTACTTATAAATTTGCGTAATGCCTAATCACTTATAAGTCTTAATAAATTTTTAGATCGATATTGAATTATTGACTGTATCAGAAAACTCGTTACGGTCAAAAACGTTCACTCTAGTTACTCGATCGTGTCCAATCTATAACGTCTAACGGCTAACGGCCCATTGTGAAATTATTGTGGGTGTTAAATTTCTATTAAGAAAATTGTGTTAATTTCACATTAATAAACGTATTCGCAAACCTAGACAATAAATATTCTGTCCAAAATAGTAATTATATAATATATATGACTGAAGTCAGTTTTTTTTTCCACTTTGCTCGGTAACAAAACATACCAATAAATAACATGCTTCGTATGTATTAATAAAATATTTGATTTTTTTATTAAAGCATTTTCTCTTGTCAGTGCAACTAATTCATGCATTTTGTACCAACCAGCTCTATTCCAGGCCATATCTCTGACTTCCCTTTACGACATGACACTTGTTTCTTTATCTGTCCCATGTAGTTATTATTCGGCTTTCCCCTTCCTCTTTTGCTCTCTATTTTTCTTTCTAATATGCTCTTCAAAAATCGTCATGTCGTATAAAATGGACCTAACTTTTTCGTCCTTCTATACTCTATTGTTTTTATTAATGTTTGATATAGAAAGGGAAATCAAAAATTTGAAATACGAGTATAATGTGTAACATCTCGTCGTCCATTGGTGCGTTTAAAATAGGAATAATGATGTTACTAGTCAATATTATTTTTGTCACGGTTGAAATAGCTGGTTTTTTTAGACGCGAAATTTACTTGTTCATATTTTTTTTATACAACTGGGAATGACCAACTAGCCCACGCACTATTTGATGGAAGTGATAATTATTGACTATCCTTACTAATATAAATGTGTGATGTTTTTTGTTTGTTTGTCACCATATAGCACCTTAACGGATTAACCAATCACTATGAAATTCGATAAACACGTACTATATGGGATGGAGAATGCTACTTTCTGTCCCGGACACTAAACTTATATCAGTAACACGGACAAAGTAGCAGCAAAAAGCTAGTAGACAATATACTCGATCTTTAAGTCTATGGGTTGGTGTATGTAGGTGTTGGCAGCAAAACAGTTGGTCAAACTCAATACAAACTAATGATGCGTTTTCGTCTATTATGTCATGCAAGTAAGAATATCTCGGTGTGCAAAATTCATAAACGCATAGCTGACTGTGTATATTTGCATAGGTGTAATGTGGAATGTTTGTACAAGATTTGTCGTCATCAAATTGTGGTAGACAGTTTGTATTTCATGTGTGTGTCACACGATATCTTTGTTAGCAATAATATAGTTTACATCTTTTTACAATATATTTTCAATAAGTTAACAGATATATACGAAAAAAAAAAATAGGTATGATACAGAAGAAAAAACGCGGGAAAAATAATAATGTTACCACACACGAAAATACAACCTTTCTTCCTTTTTTTAACAATATTATAACATATATTAATTTCATGATCATTAAAATTGACGTTTTTCTACGCAGAACAAACATCTGCTGTGAAGGAAAATGTACTTGCGGCCATACGACATTGCGTTCTAAATTTAAATATTTTTAATATAATTATCTATCTAAAAATTTTTTTACAAATTTTACTTGTTTATAGATGGGTTTTGGCATTGACCACAATCTCACCTGATGGAATGTATGACTATAATCATTTGTTTACAATCTCAGAGATTACAGATTTCATCCAATCGATTGAAATACCCTCTGGGAAGAGGGGATGAAAGAATTTTTTTTGAAGTAATAGCTCAGTCTAATAGCAATATTATAGCCAATCAGGTCGACCTCGACCACAGTTCCCCCAGGAAACCAACGTGATCAATTCTAAATGAGTTCGTCACGATGGGTTTAACGGACCTTTCATCCTCTCCATCATCTCTCACTGGTACCCCGCCATCGTATACTAATATCGCAGGCGGGGTTACCATACTATTATTATCCATCTAAAAAAAATATTATCTTTAATAGTATTAAGATTGTTTTCATTGAAATTATTCAGTTCATTACTTTTGCAGCTGGAAGACCTGGATGTATTGCCGTCAGGTGACCCATCGGATCGTCTATCGGAACACATGCCTTCGAAACCAATTAACATAGATCTGTCACAGCCGGCGCATAACTTCAACAATACATTTAACAAGTAAGTGCCACACATTAGATACTGGAAGTAGTGAGTAGTGCCCTTGCTGTGAACACTGTTTCGTATGCACTGGACATAAGACTCAATGTTCTCTGATGAAACAGGATTAAAATAATGAAAAGTTAAACAAATTTTTATACTGAACTAAATGTTATTTTGCGGAATTCCATATCACTGATATGTGTACGACTGCCAACAATACGGAATGGAACAAAATAATGCAAATAAACAATAATCGAGTTTTGTTTAAATTAACACAGATCTATACATTAAATTAGTTTTAAAATTTAATGAAATTTGTATTATTCTTCAGTAATAATAATTAAAGATTATATTCCAAAACTAATTATTTTGATCTAAAAATTGAACTACTGTTGAGTAGTTTAATAGTTGATTTTTATAAAATTTCTATGGGACCATTCGGTGAGTATTATATATATAAATTCCCTTTTAGATAAAAAAAAAAAGATTTCTCCAAATCGTTTTAGAACTGACAGAGTTATAAAGTAACAAACATAAAAAAAAAACAATTGAATCTAGAATTCTCTAAGTCGGTTGAGATATATCTAGATCTCAAATTAAAAATGCGATGGTTATTTCTTTTAACGTATTGAATTAGCAGATAATACTGATTAACATAAAATTTTGCATCGCAATTGACACAGCTGTTTCTTTGTGTATTTATTTTTTTTTTATAGTCACACCGTTCCATTTTCCATATTCAAATATTTTAATTTTAATAGGAGATTCATCCTCACACGGTGGAACCTAAATATAATAGACACGTACAGTCTGGTTTCAAAAGAGTTTTCTCCCGCGAACGCAGGCTGTGAAATGAGTCTGTTTTCCTTAGAGATTACAGTATGAGGTTCTTAAATTTTCTCTTCAGAGTTGCCAACCGGCACGTCCATTTTGCAGGCATAATCTACAGTTTTTACCATCATTTAATTGTTTCCCACTTTTGCACCACACACTGACAAAGAATCTTTTATCATCACACAAACATATATATAACATAAATATAATAGACACGTACAGTCTGGTTTCAAAAGAGTTTTCTCCCGCGAACGCTCAGGCTGTGAAATGAGTTCCTTGTCGATGTTTTCCTTAGAGATTACAGTATGAGGTTCTTAAATCTTAATAAAAACGGGTCTCTTCAGAGTTGCCAACCGGCACGTGACACCTCAAGTTTTGCAGGCGTCTATAATCTACAGTGATCGTTTACCATCATACGGGCTGCATGCTTGTTTCCCACTTTTGCACCACACATAAAAAAAAATATCATGTTTACGATATATCTTATTGTTCTTTAATGAATTTTGTTTAAAAGTAAGTATATTGAGATTACCAATAAATATTAATTTTATCACAATTGAAATGATTGCTTTTTGTGGACTAAGATTGGTTATTAAATAAACGGTACAAGGTACATAGTCACAGAATAAAATACAACTTACCAAATCGTACGTTTTCCCCAAGACAGACGTTTACTGCTACGCTAGAATATTAACAACTTAATTATTACGTTAGTAGGTTTAATTAAACAACGTGAATCCAGACAATAAGATGCTCACAAATAACTAAAACCCAACTGATCCATTCGTATTTAACTGACGAGGAAAACGGAGAGATTTTCTGTTGAACTTTTTTTTTTTAATGATGTGTTCCCCAACTTTGAGCTTTCGTGTTGGGTCTTATAATATTTTCGCCGTAAAAGTATAAAAAAAAAGTGTTTTAAAAAATAGTCTAACATTATTGTTATAAATGAATGCGCACTACTTTATTATCGAAATGCCCCTGAGACGTTTACGCTACAAAAGCGATTAGGAAAACACTAAGATAAATTAGTTAATTGCTTACAAACAAATGTTGTTAGTTTTATTTTTATATGTTGCACTTGCATTTTATACACGGAGTTATTTGTAATCGTCATACTAAAATGTAAACACAATGGTAACACAGAATGTTCCTAAGGGCATGGTTGGATTTTCACAATCTTTCGTTTTATACACATATAAAGCCTGATCACAATATACGAGTACGAGTAAGAGATTCAGAAATGTACGTTCCTTTTTCAAATGTTTGAATTACAAAATGGGAATGACAGCAACTAGAGACAGAGGCTGTACTTTATGGAGGAGTACTATTTATTAAGATTTTCAACCGACTTCAAAAAGAATGTTATCAATTTGGTTGTATTTTTTTTCATGTTTGTTACCTTATAACTTCGTCAAGGGTACAGAGGAACAACACCTGAGTCCTGAGTACTCAGGAATTGCAATGCATGGGGTATCATGGGCGAAACAGTATACTCTGTTATGTCCATGGTATACTCATATTATAGGCGACGGTTACAACTTTTCATCAGGTGGGCCGTCAACTTGTTAGCAACTCCAAGTTGCATAAAAAAAATCTAAACTGAATTAGAAAATTCTTTTTTTATCTGAAAGGATATATTTCAGAAATTCTATTAAAATCGGTTCATTAGTGTAGTTAATAAATCAAGTAATAACTGGTTTAGCAATAATTGAAGTCAGATTTTTTTTGTGGGACACAATCTTAAATAATCTATAAAGATATTTCGTTTCACAACAAAAGCATCGACTTCAATCGTGGTTAAACAAATTATTTCGATTTAAGAACCAAACTACTGAACCGATTTTGATGAGATTTCTATGTGACCAATCTGAAGGTTGTCCTTTCAGATAAAAAATATTTTTCCGAATCGGTTTATAAATGACGGGAGTTTGGAATTAACAAACATAAAAACTGTAACTGAATCGAGAACCTTTTTGAAGTTGACTGAAAATTCCCACGGGAATAGGAAATAATAGGTTTCGCACGAGTGCAGCTGCGGTAAACAGCTAGTGCTGGTATAATTAAGAGAATCGCCGACAATTAAACGGTAGCTAATTGGCCAAGAACACTCATCATAGACATTAAATCCATAAATAATTATGCCCAAAATAGTCTTAAGCGTTTCTCGTCTTATAGTTTGTGAGTTTTACTACCGTTATATAATAAATAATATATAATAAATAAAAAATTCTGTTCTTATAATAACTAATACTAACATAAATCGAATTTATCATGGGGAGTGCTCTGAGGGATTGTTCGGATTGATACCTGCTGCTGATTTTCACCATCGTACAACCCGCCATAAACTAAAATTTCATCTCAACCATCTGGACGAGTGGCGGTCCTCCACCGTGCGTTTTTCAAGGCACAACCACTCTTTGGAATCAACTTTCAGCAACAGTATTTCCGAACCGATACGACAACATAACCTTCAAGAAAAGAGCATATTCCTTTTTAAAAGGCCGGCAGAGCACCTGCAATACCGTTAGTATTGTGGGTGATCATGGGCGGCGGTAGTCACCACCAGGTGAGCCGCGTGCTAAATTGCCCCCTGTTTTGTAAAAAAAAATAAAGAAAAAGTATTATAGAGATGTTTTTTCTTTATGTTGGTATTTAAAAATTATAAAAACCGAATTTTTTATTAAGCACACTTATTATTGCTGTAATAAATTGAAAACACAAAAAATAAGTCACATTGTTTGCTTGGGTTTCTACTGCAAAAACTTTAACAATTTTATTGTTAAAAATTTCTTAAATGCACATTATATTACATTACACTACTTGAGCATTCTCGAACGAATTACACGTAACTTAAACCGATAGTTATTACATTAAAATATAAATTTGACAGTATCACGAACTTTTAATTTATTAATGGCATTCTATAACTTCAAGTTATTATTTTAGATTATGAACATTATATCATGTTCAGTATACAAACGTGAATATGACACGAAAAAAAGTATATGAAATTAATCGAAAATAAAATATATATAACTCTCGGTAGTATCTGTTGACAAACTTACATAAAAATACTAAAGTAATAAAAGTCCAAAAAAAATGTATACTCAGCTTTCATTATAATTATTTTGGATGAGTTGGCGTCGAATGTAATCAACTACTATAACAAACCATGTGAGAGAGAAAGTGCGGTCCGGTGCGACGTCAAAGTGCGGACATGTACTTTCGCGTGGGACGCGCTAAAGTTTCGTTATATCGACTCACGGAGGATTAAAAAGCCGCTGTATGCGATTGATTAACTATAACCCACATGACGAAACTATACTGGCGTGTTGATATCACCCACGGAGGACAAAATGCCTATTTAATTCGGTTGGATATACGAAATTTTAACAATTTTATTGTCACTGATATTAAGAAGCCCTGTTAATTGTTTGTTGATTTTTTATTTATTATTATTATATAAAATTAGTTTTTTTTTTTAATACAAATGTTAAAAAGATGAGATTTCTTATGTTAAATAAAACCAATACAACTTTACAAACTTTATAATGTTAACATGTATGATTATATAGTCTTTAGTGGAGTTACAATATATTTAATTAGGTATTAAATATTTTGTTCCACAAACAAGAAATTGATCATAATGGAGATTGATGACTAATATGGAAGGTTATGGAATTATTGGTTATAGTGGTGGCCAATCTTCGAGTGTTGATAGTCACACGCATACTAATGGTAACGGAATTAAACAAAATAATTCAAATCAAATAACCAGTGATAGGGACTTCCGCAAGATTACACTCTGTTTAGTTAAATATTTAAAAAATAAGAAATGTCTTGAGTAGTGTCAAAAATGCAGATTAATGAAGAACCTTGTCCTTTTAGAAGGCCCCTGAATTAAAATCCCAGCAAACTGAATTTGGAAATAAAATTTAACTTTTAAAATTTTTAATCCTACTCACATTATAATTGTGAAAGTATGTCTATTTATTACCTCTTGATGCCTCAGCCGTTCAATCAACCATATCAATCATTAATTCGTCATCATCATCAAATCATAATCGACCGTGATGACAAATGAAAAGAAGAAGTTCGCATAGTATGTGAGATGGTGGATTTCGTAGGAGAAGAACGTAGGATTTCTTATCAATTAATATATTATCCTTCTTCATCATCCGCGTGAGTCGAAGGCGAAAACTAGTTTTTATTATAGTACGAAATTTGCTTATATAATCAGTAACATCCTCATTATTATTATATCAGCCTTCAATTATCTACTGCTGAACATAGGTCTTTAGCATAAAGGGAGGTTTTACCAGTAGTTGCTACGCTTGGCAGGCGGATTGGCAACCGCTGTTAGACTCTTGGTGATGTTTTACGAAGGACACTGCTGCCCGCCTTTCAAACATTAAGTTCTCTTAGACATATCTTACGACACCCACGGGAAAGGAAGGAGTGGGCCATTCTATGCCGGGACCACACGGCTAATCAGTCAGTAATCAGTAACATAAACATTACTCTTTCAGGGGTCTCTCAAACATAATGAACGAGCGTGGTAGTCTGAATATGTACCAGAGTGGCGAGTCACTTATGCGGATGTCCCCACCGAGCCTCGTGTCTTCCTTACTTATGGAGAGCTCTGGGACGTTTAACGCTGAGTCGCTCGACAGTCGAAAGTCCCTACCCTCACATAGGGATTCAGGTTTGTAATAGATTGTAATTTATTACTTTGTCATCCATCAATGTCTTGATTTTTTTTATTATATTTAGTATGGCAAATACACTAGTACTAGTAGTTTAAAATTTTTCCAATAGACTACAGTATGGGGTTATAAAAGTGTAAAGAGATTTCTTCAGGATCGACAACGCGCGCGTAATGCCCCTGGTATTGCAGACGTTCATAGGCTACGGTAATCGCTTACCAGCAAGGTGGGCCGTATGCTTGTTTGCTGCATTAATGGTATAAAAAAACTGACGGCTCACATAAATAGCGCCATCACATAATATACTAACGTCCATGATACCTCTCAAACGTTGCCATTCCTGAGGACTAAGGTGTTATACATCCGTGCTCTGTAGTTTTATTAGCATATCCTATAATTTAATTAAAAAGAAAACTAGGTCACGCAAACAGCCGCTTCACGCCAGAAACACGAATGGAATAGAGGTCCCCAAACAGACGGCTTTTTTACCTTTAACTAAGCAGACTGCCTGTGATTATTAGTAGGGATGAAATAGAACGGCGAGTCATTGTATTCACATACGTTATTACATGGACAACACCTGTGTGTATGAATTATTCTCGATACGTCAATCCTGACTCATTACAGATTAGGAAAATTATCTCAGATATTTCTGTCCTGAGTCAAATTTAAGAATAGAGTAAAATTGAATTAACCCCTCACGTATCGCTTTGCGTTCTGAAATTTCTGACATATACTTAAAAGCCCCAACGGTTACTTTGCAGGTGTACCGATGTCAGGCCGTGATAGTATCGACCCAATGCTGACAAGTATGACATTAAGTATCCTAGACGAAAAAGATATGAGCACAAGTTTCCTATCGCAAACCACATATCCAGATAATGATAGCCTAATGGACTCTTTACCTCCGAGCCTGGTCAGCTCAGTCAACTCTTCCTATATCATCTCCAACACATCAAAACCAAAAGCTGATAACACCGATTCAAATATATTTAGTTCAGCCACATTCACACATTTAGAGCAGTCCGAAAAACTTCTCTCGGCAAGACCTAGGTGTCAAATGTATAATAGCTTCACAAAAAAAGACCCACCGATCCGAACACCTGAGAGCTACACAAAACCCCGAGAAGAGAGTTGTCAAATGGACCCCGTTAAAGTGTTAAACGAGAACTGTGATAAAAAAGACTCACCTAAACAGGTCCCGCCTAAAATGAGCCCAGAGATGGGAGAGACAATAACGCTACATTACGCTAATAACAAATTTAGCAGAGCAAACGATGCAGAGAAAGAAAATTTAAACGCGACGTTCGAACAAGATGACGCGTTTTACAAAGATATGGGCATGCAGAGGACAACGGATTTAGGGAAAAACAGCCTGAACGTAACCCTGGATAAGCAGGAGTTGAACGAAATCATACAGGCTCGGCAGAAGCTGTCTCTGGCGAGGAAGGCGTTGCCAACAGAGCCGGATAACCAAGACACGTCGCCTATCAAAACGATACAGCTGCCGAATCAAACGATCACCGTTCCGAGACAAAGCATGGAGAACGCATCAGAGCTGCTGTCCAAGCGGAGAGCGTTGAACGGCGGATTTGATAGACACGACGAACCTACCAGAGAGACGCCGAAACGGAACGCGACCTTCAAGAAGCCATCGCCGAAGAACAACGCCATGGACACGACAGTGGTGTACGTGAAAACGGACGAGAACCAAATGATCGATATCAACTCGGCTACTTTGAACCTCATCGATGCCAGCGAAAGGACGTTGCAACAGGAGGCAAGTATATGAACGACTTTTGTTTTGATAATGCTATTATCGATTAAAAGCTACAATTCTTTGCAGAACGAAAAACTAGTTTGTTGCGAAGCAGACTTTACATGTAGACACGATTTTGCGATGGTCACTTCTAATATACTATTTTTAACCCGCGACTTCGTTCGCTTAACTAGTATATATTAATTGTCCAAAATAAAAGATAAGTGTAATAGATCCTCTATCCTTCATTGCAAATACTACGTGTATTTTTATAGAATTTCACGCAGAATGGTTGAGTTACTGCAGTGCCAAGACGTTAACAAATAAACATTGTAATGTATCTATGAAACATCTCCTCGTCCATTGATGTGTTCAGTTGCGGTTAAAGTCGTTTTCTGACGTCGTCTTAACTGACTTCAAAAAAGAAGAAGGTTTTCAATTCGGTTGTATTCTTCTACGGGTATATTTGTTACCTCTCTCATTTATGAAATGATTTAAAAGTTTTTTTTTTTTTTTTTCTAAAAGGAAATACTTTAAGATAGATCCGATTGAAATTTTATCAAAATCGATTAAGTATTTTGGTTTTTAAATTATAATAACTAGCTTTGCCACGATTAAAGAATTTTTTTGGTATTGTTTGAATTTTAAATGATTACTTTTTAAAATGTTATCTACTGTGTTTTACAGGAGTGGTGCTCGCAAGAACGTGCGATGGTCGGGTCTAGTGAGAGCACGGACACTGGCACGTTCAGCTCTTCCAGTCCTCCTGATAGTGTGCCTGAGGCGGATCCACTTAATCACACGCGTGAGTAAACGTACATACGTACATACATAGTCTAAGTGGGTTATTCGTCATCATTATGTCCATTATATATATATATTAGTTTCCAGGGGGAACCACGAGGAGGTCGACCTGATTGGGTATATTGCTAGCAATGGGGTTTTTAGTCTCCATTACTGACATTCCCTTTCCCCCTTGTAGACCAATAGGTCTACAAGGAACAGATGTATTAATTATTATAGATGTATTTTTTCTAATATTTCCCATTTGCAGACATCGTCAAGTTAGTTTTATTATATTAGTAAGATAATGAATTGGTCATTGGTGTTTTAGTGTTATTACTAATACAAGGGGTATTACAACTGAGAGCTTTACAAGAGCTCTAAGAGATGTTATTAGTGATTTACGAATAGTGCTGCCATCTGTCCATTGTTCTCTGGTTTCTCTTTGTTTTGATATTAAAAAATCATCCCTATGCGCATTTTATTGTATTATTAAAATTTAAAATATTAGACATATGGCAACCCACCATACATTTAGTATAACATAATCAATCCCTTCCTACCCCGATTGCAGGCACACAAATAGCTTCAACACCACTGACAGCAATCAAAAAGGGCACCAAAAATGATCTATTAAACCTACACACCACCATATCACCCATTTATGATATGATCGATGATAAATCCTATACCGTAACCAAAGCGCTCAGTTCCAATTCAGCGATGGAAAGGACTTTCGATCTACATAATACAACAGTCATAAATAGTGGGACAATTGTGAAAAAATCCGCCAAAAGGGATATCTTATCCTGCAAGGCTAGCCCTGAGAAGAAGATGGGACCAGCGGTTCCACCTACGTCATCTCCAAGCAGAATCTCATCTCTTAATACAGGTAAAGCAGAGTACTGTGTTTATTTTCCATATATTTGAGAAATTCTTTTTAACTGTGTACGTAGTATATTTTCTTTTAATTATTTCTAAATTTATCTTAATCCTTTTTACTGTTGTTAAATATTTTTCATAGACTCTTGATCTCATGTAATTCTGCACCGTATTTTATAAATCATATTCTCTTGTTCTAATATTTAAAATTTATACAGTTTATTTAAATTAGTAAGTAGTATATTTTTTTCTGTTCTCCGCTTTCTCTTTATGTCCACTAACACGCTGTTTCGGCTAGCACGCTTGCTTCTTTGTGTTTTTTTTAAACGCACTAATCTATATATTTATATTTTTTCTGGACTACATTCACAGATATGTAATTATCGGTATCATCTTTTTTTTTTTTAATTCATCATGTTACATTGTATTCTATAATTTTTTTTCCATTAATAGGTATTGTAACATGTACATCAATGACAACTATATCCCTATCTACCGATATATCACACATTCGTCAAATATCTTTCCATTATAATATTAACACAAATCATTTTTCATATATTCTCCTCACATAAAAAAATAAAAACTATATTTTCTTTTATTTTTTTTCTTTTTTTTAGCCATCCTCAGTAGCTTAGTTCTGAATCTGTGTGTTACAGGCACTCACAGTTCGATGGCTCCACCAAGCAACGTACCGAGAAAAACTAACTTGCCGACCTCCAAACTTAGGCAGTATAGCTCACACAGAGAACTTAGCAGGATACCCGGTACGAACACAAATACGTAATACGCACTCTATACATACATGCGCTCACTCATACATATACATGCAAGCATGGACACACACACACACACATACTTGACCATACACACACACACACATCCACAAAGATTTCATTACATTCCACAAGAAATTTGTTAAAAATCTGACATCGATTCAACAACGTAGATGACATGATGTATACGAAACAAAATCATCAAACTCGATTCTGATCTATCACGTAATACACTTAAAGAAAACTAGTAATTGTTAAATTGTATTTTTATTTTAATGAACTGCTTTATCTAGATATACAAAATAATACATGTAGTATATATAAAAAAAAAAAAAACAAATATCAATTTAAAGCTTGCATATAATAATAGAACACGTAGAACTAGACGTTACAATGTACACATGTTCGTAGAGGGTACACAGATTATAAAAAAAAAGGTCCTTATGACCTCTGCAGATGTAAATACTTTGTATTTGAAAGGGCGCTTATTACTACTACTTCTACTTGACTTAAAAATTACTAAATATAATATATTAGTAAATAAACATTAATGTGTTATCACAGCTTGCTTAATAAACATAGAGAGTGAAGCAACAGGTGAGTAGCGATCACTATTATTATAGTTTGCTGTAAACGCTCTTATGCAGCTATTGCTTTATTGATTTTCTAATAATCTCACTTATCAATTTACCTCGCTCTACTTGCTTGTACATAACGGTGAGTTTATATTAGGCATGGGTATAATGGATACCGATCCGATATCTATATATTGGGTTCTGGATATTGATGGCGAGAAAAAGATTATATTACCTATTTCGATATCGGCCACATCGGTCGGATTTTTTAATATGTTAAAAAGTTTGTTATCTTATATTATTTTTTAGATGACAGTCTTTTAACATATTCGTTATTGGGCCAATATATATATATATATATACATCCCTAGTTTCTTCTTTTTGATAATGAGAATTATAAATTACATTTTACATGTGACTTTGTCCACGTAAACGGTATATGTTGATTGATCGGGAATTTTTAGTTTTAAACATCAAAGTCATTCAATATTTTCTTAACGATATTGCGTTGTAAAGACGAGTAGAGTGTAAGAAGATTAAAGAAGATAATAATATTTAAATTTTTATTAATACAATAACTAAAACTTTATTATGGGATAGGTAGTCTTAAAAAGTCAAAAGAGAATTTGTAAATAATATAGGAAAATATAAAATTGATGTCGTAGGTGGCAACCCTACCGGACTGCCCCGCAGCTCGGCCGGGCGCACGATGGTCCGGCGCGGGGTGTACGCCTCCAACCCCGCGCTCAGCCCCACGTCCGCCGCGCCGCCCGTCACACCCTTACGGCGGGAGTCGTACACACTCACCATTGACACACAGGTATCATCATCGATGACTATCCATACAGTTGAAGTGTTAGAAATCGTATATATTTAAAAGGAGGCGTGTCCACTCCAGAATTATCTAATTATCATCAGATAATAAGATAATTCTGTATTCATCATATCCTGGGGTGGGCAGATGAAGGGATAACACCTGAGTCCTCAGGAATGGTAACGCATGGGGGGTATCATGGGCGAAACAGTATACTCTGTTATGGTACTGCTCATGTTTATAAGCGACGGTTACCACTTTCCATCAGGTGGGCCGTCAGCTTGTTTGCCATTCTAAGTTGTGTAAAAAAAATTTAACTATGCCCAAAGTATATACTCTATTATGTACTTTTAGACAAGTGTTTGAGAGTATATAATATATATTTTTAAGGAGTCTAATCCATTGGAAACTATCACTTCGAATTCGTCATTATAAGTCAATTGACTTGATTCCTTTTTCATACATGATTATTGTCCTCTAGTACTCTGCCAGCGTACAATAGCATAGGTGGATCACTTTTTTCACTTAGTTTCATATGGTATATTCAGATTTCTTAAGGGTCAACAACAAAACGTTACATTTCTTGTATTACAGACGTCCATAGGCTATGCTCACCTCGTTTATTATCAGGTGAACCGAATGCCATGAATTTTACCAGAGGGAGACTTTGTACAAAAGTCAATTGCTTGGGTACCTCTGTTCCATTCGTGTTTCTACCGTGAAGCAGTTGTGTTTGCATGGCTGTGTTTCGGTTTGAAGGATGGAATATGGCGTGAATTTACAAGGTACAGAGGAATAACATCTGAGTCCTCAGGAATGGCAACTTATGGGGTGTATCGATATGTTCAAATGCCCAAATGAATATTTTCCAGAATGATGACCAGCCCCAGAAGCCGGTCGTCACCGCGCCCCCCGCACTCGTCCGACAAGGCACCGAGACGTTACGCAGGGAGCGGCCGCAGAGTCAACTGGTGGCACCCAGAGATGTGAGTATAAAAAAAAACGAAAAACTCTCTTACCAGTTCTTTTATGAACAATCTTGACAGAGTAATTAATAAATATACAGAGTAGAGTCTCCCACCCATATACACGTATTTTCTTTCGTGAATTCAGTACAGCTCTTCTCTATAGATCAGCGTACTTATTATTATTAAAGTTACGAGATTGTCAGTTCTACCTGGATATTTTTGTTATGGTCCCGAATTGGCTTGTAATCGTTCGGGACGTACCATGGTGTTGGACAACTGGTTGTTTCTTTCGCTGTGGTATTATTAAATATATGTATAACTTTAATATGTAATATTTATATAATATATAAATGAATAACTGTTTATAATAAACAATGATTAGTTAGGTGATGGTAAATGTTCAAGTATATAACATTTTACGCTTCTGTTCCATGCAATTTTATAGAAATTTGTCTTATAATTGTCTTCGTATCTGCTTATTATTTGGACTCAGCTATACGCCTGCCTGGTGTCTTATACAGACGGGCTCGGTCCTTTCTTACTATATAGTAGATGCCCATATTACTAACGATCGTCCTATGTTCTTCTCCATTAATTAATTTTTTTATTAATTTACTAACTTTTTGTACGCGTGAATTTCTGAAGTAGGTAAACCAATGAAATAGACTACATCTAGTTTGTCTATTTAGTTAAAGCATATACTAGTTTTTAAGTTAGATCTTTAGAAACACAATTGTGAAAACCGCATTCATTTCGGTGCAGTAGTTTTGGCTTGGTGTCGAAACAAACGGGACAGACAGAATTTTTGAAAATTTGTTTTGGTTTATTAAGACGAGTTTTAAGAATTTTTAGAAATTTTTTTATGTACAGGCGTTATGTAATTACAATTTTATTATATATCCTACTATATAGTGAATATTCATATTACTAGAGTTGGTTCTATATTCCTTTCTCCATTTATTTATTTTGTTCCTTAAACCGCAAGAGCCAACCTTAGCTGTAAAACAGTCTCTTTATCCCATATCTTTACATAACATACATTGTTTTTGGTTGATATACTGCATTTTAATCTTTTTTTTCTTCTGTGTTCATTGAAGAACTTAGAACTTCTTGTCGCTAGAAAAACCATCCCCTCATAAATAATGAAAAGAGTAATTAAATACGAGGTCTGTCCGGAAAGTTCGTATAAAAGTGTTCTGGAATGCGAAAAGAGGAGTAATGCGCAAACCCCTTCCTTATGTCCCTAACAATGCTTCAGTTCTGGTCTGACCGCCGTGCGGTACTGGCTTGTCACGCCATCTGTGAAGTTAATTTCGGCATGGAGCCCGCTTCCGTTGAAGAGCAGCGCGTCGTAATCAAGTTTCTCTCGAAACTCGGCAAGAATGGCCGTGAAAGCAAAGAGTGGAAGACGAAGAAGGGGAACCACGAACAAAAAAATCAAGAAAATCCCGCTCAAATGTCAAGACAATGTTGATTGTTTTTTTCGATGTTCGGGGGATTGTCCATCAAGAATTCGTCCCTCCAGGCCAGACAGTTGATGGAAAATTCTACGTCGATGTGCTCAGACGCCTCAAAGCTCGTGTGGCACGAGTTCGTCCAGAATTGGCGCGAGAGGGGCGTTGGATTCTTCACCACGACAATGCCCCTGCCCACACCTCTCTTGTTGTCCGTGAGTTTTTGAGTAAAAATTCCATTACTGACCGAACACCCCCCCTTTTTTGGCCCCGTGTGACTTCTTCTTGTTCCCAAAAACCAAATTGGTACTTCGGGGGCGGCATTTGGGGGACATAAATGAGATAAAAAAAGCTACGACGGGGCAGCTAGAAACCTACAACCAGAGGACTTTCAAGGAGCCTTCTCACAGTGGAAACGGCGTTGGCACAAGTGCATTATGTCACAGGGGGAGTACTTTGAAGGGGATAAAATTGATTTACCTGAATAATTGTAAAATAAAATTTTTAAAAAACTTTTATACGTACTTTCCGGACAAACCTCGTACTTATAATAATTTGTCTGTCGTGTGTTTAACATCATAATACCTATGACAAAATTTCAATATCTATTTCATAAACATTCATTGTATATATATATATATATATATATATATATATATATATATATACACATTATATATATATATATATATTGCATTGTAGTCCTATATTTGTAATTATCACAAATTAGTTAAAAATATTATATTTTACCAAATCAGGTGTTATTTTGCGAAGAAAAAGCTATAAAAAAGAATATTTAAAAATTCAACTTTTTTCTGCTGTCTGTACACCGCACTAACCGTACATGTAACTATCATATGTGTGTGTGTTAGCTGCGAGGCGGCGCTACGGTCGGCAGCGGCGTCCCAGTATCGATGCGAAACCATCATATGCCCGTGAGTTGTCTTTGTGTACTAATACAATTGTATAATATAATTTAATTGTATTGTATTGTTTAAATTGTATGTAATTAGCTAATTTTTTTATTATAAAATCAAATCTGGCTATCGGCTTGGTAAAGCTTTTACATTAATCATAATAGAAGTTATCATCATCATCATTCCAGCCATTATCCGTTCACTGCTGGACCTAGGCACCAAAGACTGCCATAAGAACAGTCCTAAGCCACCTGCATCCACTGACTCCCTACAATGCATTTGAGGTTGTCACTCCATCTAGTGGTGGGTTGTCTTACACTGCATTAATACGTGCAGTATTTACTATCAATTAATATCTACTGTCGGTGTTATATAATAATGAGGCATTCGAAATGTGGACATGGAGGAGAATGGAAAGGATAAGCTGGACAGAAAAACTAACGAATGAGGAAGTCCTGATAAGAGCGAACGAGAAAAGAACATTAATTAAAATAATAGAGAATAGAAGAGGCAAAATGCTGGGCCACCTTATACGACCTGACGATTTTTTTAAGAACATAGTAGAAGGAAAAATAGAGGGCAAAAGAGGAAGACCGAGGAATAACTACATGGGACAGATAAAGGAAACACTAGGTGTCATGTCGTAAAGGAAGGTCAAGGATATGGCCTGGGATAGAGTTGGCTGGAAGAAGATTCATGAATTAGTTGCACCGACAAGAGGAAACTCTTTAATGAAAAGAGAGAAAATATCTACTGTAAAATCAAGACAAGATTAAGATGAATAATGATCAGAGAAAGCCTTTGTTCACAAGCCGTCAGCATGAGTGATGACACATGTAAGACACACGTGTTTCCGTGTCTTTGAACGGCGTTGAAATTAAATTTTAATTTAAATTCCAATCGTTTTAAACGATCAATTTAAACGATTTTTGTACATTTTGCAGCCACCAACGACACGGCCGTACTCGATAGCGGGCGCCTCCCAGCTTCGAGTTGCGAGGCCAATTTCGGTGCCTTCACAGAAACCAGCGCCAGGTATATTTAAAGTTCTGTTACTATGCAATTTAATGAAAACTTACATTATATGGATAGAGCATTGAGAAACAAAAACGTGTCAGCATTTAGTCCGTTAAATTAGCATTTGGCTGTCACAATTTGACATATTTTTATATCAAAATTAAGCACCCTATTTTTTGCTAGTAATTGGGTTAAAAATTTCCTAGATCTAGTATTAAACTGTTATTATTGAAATATTTCTTAAATTTGAATTGTATTTTTTTATGATATAAATATATATATATATATATATATATATATATATATATATATATATATATATATATATATATAGATTGATTAAAAAATAATATACATTTACTAGCTGACCCCGTAAAATTTGTTTTACCACTTATTGCGAAATATAAAAATCGCAATTAAAATACAAGGGTTGATCGTAAAACGATGAAAATTTTAAGTTGTATGTATTTTTCAATGCTAAATCATAATAAAATAAAAATGGAAAAATTTGTCAAAAAAATAAAAAAAAATATTTTGGGGAGGGTCACCCTTATCATTGACGGGTATGAAAAATAGATGTTGGCCGATTCTCAGACCTACCCAATATGCATACAAAATTTCATAAAAATCGGTAAAGCCGTTTCGGAGGAGTTTGGTAACAAACACCGTGACACAAGAATTTTATATATAAGATTGATTAAAATAACGGCCATTTTCAATGATATAAAATCGGAAACTTATTTTACGTCTCTATTTAAATATAAATCGAAATAATCCATAAAAATAAGTATTATTACAAATCTTTATCTTTTTCTTTCACTTTGTCATGCTACCCTTAAACCAATTATTATTTGGGGTCGGCGTAATATGATTTTTTTTTATACTACTCAAGATTTTTATGTTACGACTGACTGATGGTAACCGTCCTTGAGAATGCATTTGTCGGTGTTACTAACCAAATACGTTATATAGGATTGAAAAAAGGACAGCAATATTTTTAATAAACAAATTGAATGCAGTGGCAACAGTAGCGGCGACAACTGAGCAGCCGCGGCCAGCGTCGTCGGAGGCGCGCGTGTCGGCACTACCGCGACCATCGCGGCTTCCCGCGCCTCGCCGCGCGCTCAGGTACCACAGGGAGACTTTATACAAAAGTCGTTTGCTAGGGCACCTCTGTCCCATTTGTGTTTTAACCGTGAAGCAGTTGTGTTTGCATTGCTGTGTTTCGGTTTGAATGGCAGTGAATTTACAGAGTACAGAGGAATAACACCTGAGTCCTCATGAATGGCAACGCATGGGGGGTATCATGGGCGAAACAATGTACTCTGTCCATGGTACTGCTCACTTTCCATCAGGTGGGCCGTCAGCTTTATGGCCATTTTAAGTTGTATAAAAAAAAGGTACACTTATATTGTAATTTTTTAATTTGTTCATTTCTGAGGCAAAGGCTCTATGGTCATACAGCTGTGTATCCATAGACATGGGTTCTTTAATTTTTTTTTTTGTACAACTGGAATATACAACAAGGTCGTTAGCTTGTTTGTCATTCCCAGTTTCCATCAGATAAGCCGTCTTTCATTTGAACCATTAACAGTTCAGTATAAAAGTACAGCATTGTTAGGTGTTACAACGCATTCATAAGTGCTAAGATATTACGCCTCTATAGTCTGTACCTAGAAATGTCTATCATCTTTAAATGTTTTTTTTTTTTTTTATTCTAATTTCTATATTGTAATATGTATTTGGAAAGCTCAATTGAATTCATGTTCTTAACAATATTGTTTTAAATATACTCAAGACTGTTATCCCTAACTGGGTAGCCGTATAGACATTTGTCAGTTGCAGCCGTTGTTGTTGAACTAATAGGAATATTGTATATTGCGAAGTTGGGTACGCGACGAGTGAACACAGAGGTCGGTTACACACTGGTTTAATAGACAAGATCAAATGACTTATAAAGGTGGACGTAACCACCCGTACGTCTTCCAGCAGCAGTATTTCCGAACCGATACGACAACATAACCTTCAAGAAAAGAGCATATTACTTTTTAAAAGGCCGGCAACACAACTGCAATGCCGTTAGTGTTGTGGGTGATCATGGGCGGCGGTAGTCACTTACCACCAGGTGAGCCGCATGCTCGTTTGCCCCCTGTGTTGTAAAAAAAAAAACTTAATCCTACCCACATATATAATAAATATTAATAAAGTTGTTTATGATTTTTTTTTTAATTGCAGACCGCCATCAGTATACTCAGTAGCGCCGACAGCGGACGTGGACCATTACTGACGAATACTCTGCTGTGCCAACGTGCTGGGCGCGAAGCCCTAGCGCACCCAGTAAATTTAGAGTTACTAACGACTGACCGAAGTAACACTGTGTCTTGAAATTTACCATTGTGATGGTTATTCGCTTCACTAAATACATTTTTAGACCTTTGTTTTTTTTTGTAGATGTTTTTAGAACCAATTGTTGCCAGTATTTAGATGTACTGTTAGGGCTCTTTCACACGTGCCGCGGCGCAAATCAAGTGATCGCAGAGAAACATGCTCATGTATAAAGATATAATTTTTAATTGAAAAAGATAAAAACAAATAAAATCAGCTCCGTGTGTAAGTGACAAAGAAATCTATCGATAGATACGTTTTCGATACTGCATGCTTGAGACAGAACGAGACAGCAATATTTGCCGTCTTGCTTTTGCTTTTACATGCGATAAGTTATTGTCTATCGATAAATTCGTTTGCCAAATGTCTAGCGGATACCAAGCATCACAAGGTGGCGCCGCGGAATTGTGTGGCAGAGCCCCTAGTTCTTTTATAAAATCCATTGGGATAACGAATCTTGACAAATATAAGCGACATTCCGCTCTCTAAGAAACAGGTATGGAATGGAGCACGTAGGTATAATTATGGGAACTGTTAAATTAACACACTGACCAATTTTTTAAACAATTAGGTATGATTTTGTAGAGAGATAACAATTATTTAATTGATGCGACAATTTGTTTAAAAATGGAACGCAAAATATGATAATAATTGGCTGAAAATTAAATACTATGCGCTCACGACTATAATCTGTAGTGGGTGTAGTCAGAGACATTGTCGCTTGGCCTAAAAATGTTCATTATAACTTCATACTCAATGATTTATATTATGTAAAATGTATATGTTCGACATCCAAAATTTTTGTCGCGAAAATTTTGATAATGTCACAAAACTGAGGCTTGAAATCTGCTTTTCGTACGTCGAAAAGTCACAAATTTCAATCTCGTCGCATATTCTGTATTGTGAAGCTCTCTAAGGGTGGTTGTAAGTGAACACTTCACGTAACCTCGTAACGTGTCTGCTCAGCATTATAAAAATGTTAATTTGTTCTTATTTGTTTCGTATCCAACATTTCACCATCCAATGGTAGCAGGTTCGATCCTAGTTAATGACAAATTTAAGTATGCGTGTTTATTGTCTAGTTGCTACAGTAAAGACTTTTAGTTTGGCACTAGATGGCGTGTGATATATCCGACTCGTAAACTTAATATAATGTACATATATTCGTTAAACTATGGCAAAAGAATTTGTCGGTAGACACGTTTTCGTTACAGCACTTGTGAGAAAGAACAAAACTTAAAATATTGCTGTCTCGTTCTCTGACAGATGAGAGCAAACGCTGCAGACGCGATACGATGGTACGTAAAAATTGTTGGTGTCTCGAACGCACCCTTACAATGTTCTCATCTTTGAAGCTCAACATAAAAAAAAAAAAGATTGTATCTGAATTATAATTTGGTACAAAGACATACAAATTAAGATATTATTCCTATATTATTTACAAATTTAGTATGTTAGTATAATAATATGGAATGTTAACTTCGTGCTTAGTAATTTATTTCATAGTAAGACATTTTTGCATTTTGTTTATTTACGAGATTGTAATCGTTTAGGAACGTGTAATTAACTGTACTTTGTTTGGTTTTAGAAAATAGATATTTAATATACTTTGTAACTTTTGTATTATAGTGATATTTCGAGTATACGCACAGCACGATGACACGTATTTGTAACAAAATATCAATTATAAACTTCATATACAGGGTGTGATGAAAAATTTTAAATTTGCATGCTCAGTATTCAGGAAACTGATATTTCTATCCGTTTTCCTCGAGGAAGGTTTCTTGATGTGAATACTATTAGTTAATTAGTTGTGTTACACCCTGTATATCGACTAAATTTCACATAGCGATGGTACAGTAAACGCACAATATATATATATATATATATATATATATATATATATATATATATATATATATATATATATATAATTTAAATAAAAATCTCTTGTACATTTTGTAAATTCTAGCCTTATATTTAATATATGTCTATATCACTTTATATCAAAAAATTTCTACAACTCTCCTATTATATTACATATCGATTCAATTTAATGAAGAACTACATATGCATGACTGTCTATGGAAATATCGCTTTGACATATAATCAAATTGCTTTTTAGTCTCTAATAATAATATATTCCATATTGTATCCATCGATAAATTGCCGGCCAAAATTGCAGTGTATTGAGCGGGTACTCAGCAACAGCATTACAGATTGCGACTGCATTGTATATTTTGTAAAAGTAACTTTAATTATATTATGTACAGGGCTGAATTTTGTCTGTCATTACTACTGGGGTATTGGACGTTTCACAAAAGATAATGTGAATTGTATATTTGCTCTATTTTTGTATTTCTCTTTCACTTTCTATCACTAAATAGTTGTGCTTAAGTGGACGAAACAGCTATATGAGCTCTTTAAAAGGTGGGATATTGTGGCAGTGAAATCACTGGGTACAGAGTCATTAATTACAATTTAATCCACACATTAAATATGAATCACGGTGTATGATATCCATGGTGCTGCAACTCTATAACCAATGTAACTTTATGTGAGGTGAGCTTGTTTACCATTCTCTAAGTTGTATAAATTATCACAAAAGTGTACTTGAGTTTCAAACTGATGATTAGAAGGCCTATACTACGAATTTGTGAACGATTTGCATTGTAGTTCTAAAAGTCGCTCTGAGCTCTTGGCCTATTCACATTATTGTCCCGACCAATTGTGATACGTCCAAAGTCCCATATACTGTTTTACTAAATTATTTCGCTGCAGATCCGATGGTCGCTGTGGTGGCTTGTACGGACGTCGTGCCTTATTTAGATAGTTTAAGGAATTTTGTTTTCATTTTCTAATAAAAATATGTATTTACAAACTCTTCATTATTTACTGCACCATTATATTAAATTAACTTAGTAATCCTTTAAGCAAACAAGTTCAGATCAGATGGATAAACCACTTCTAGACAGTATATCAATATGAAATACACCAGATTTTAAGTTAGATCTTTAGGAACACAATACACAGGGGAGAAGGGATTGTTAGTAAAGCGGACCGTCAGTCCCATTGCTAGCAATATATGTAGCTGATAGGGTTATCAGGTCGACCTCCACGTGGTTCCCCCTGGAAACCATCATGATGAATTCCAGGTGTATTTATCACGGTGAGCTAACTGACCTGCCCTTTCATCCTCACCTATCATCCCTCACTGGTGCCCCGCTAGCGTATCCTGTTAGCGCGGGCGAGGTTACCATTTCATTATCATCCACTGTAAAAAAAAATAATTTACAAAATATCCTTGAAGGCGAGTTAAATGGATGGTTAAATTTACTTCACGATTATGACATAATCTACCTAATATGTTTTCGGATTGGATTGCGACAAATAATATAAATGTAAAAGTACGCAATTTTTTTTTTTTTGTTATTTATTTTCTTTATTATATATAAGCTCCATGTCAAGATGTTTGTTCACCCTAGTTTGTATGTCTCATAATCACGCTCAAACAGTTAAACGAATTCGAATGAAATTTGATATACGAGTGTGTTAACACATATGATACATGTTGATACAAGCGAGCAAAGTCGCGGGAAACGGCTAGTTATGAATAATAGACACTTTTAATACTTAATTAATAATAATAATAATAATAATTCTTTATTTAATAACAATTCACACCTAGTTACATCTACTAGCCACCGAACTAGGCTGAGCCTGTATCTCAGTGGTTAGTTAAAAAAGCCATTTTAAAATTCTGCCATTTTTTTGTGTATGATAATGAAATGGTAATCCCTCCTGCGCTATCGGTATCCGCTGGCGGGGCATCAGTAATAGATGAAAGGTGAGGATGAAAGCAGGTCAGTTAGCCCATCGTGACGAATTCCTCAATAATTAACTACGACGGTATCCCCACTAGAGGTGAATTTGATAGTGTATATTGCTAGCAGTAGGGCTATTAGACCCTGTTACTAACAATCCCTTCTCCCCTAATTCTACCGCTATAAGGTATAACCCTTAAGGAGATATATGTACATATATATCGTAGGTAACACTTATTAAATTTGCCATGATAAACCAGCTGCTCTGACCTATCGGTAGAAAGCATTATTTTCCTCGGACTTAACTATATACCTGAGTAAACCTTAAACTATATGGATTGGTATCTTAAAAGAGAAAGTAACATAATAACGTATATATGAGAGCGAGATAGGCAAGGAGGACACCGTAGATAAAGGATAGTACTTGTGGAAGACAGGAATTTTTTCATGGATTATAATGAAATGGTAATCCAGCATGGTATGTTTCTAGTAATGAAACTGACTACATTATTAATTTCTTCCCCCTTTTGACATTTTAGTATTTATACTTTATAAGAGCTTACAAGCTTGATGCTGATTTGGCGGCACTTTGAACGAAACAAGTTGTAATTATTTTGATATTCCGAAGTAGAAGTGATTCTAAGTGAATGTAATTGGTTTGAATGGAATGTGTTATATCTGGATACAATATAAATTAGAAAAAAGAACCATAATTAAGCACATTTATTTTTGTAGTACGTTATAGTACGTCTATAGTGTGACACAGTTTGCAACTATAAACTGTTTTTTTACATTTACATTAGTCGGAGTAATAAGAAAATATTTTAAATGGTCGATATTTATTATAATAAATGAAATAAAAATCAGAATTTTAGATAAATGAGGTTTGTAACAGTGTTGTCAATATCCAATAGTTGAACGACACGAGATGTAACATGTAACATATTAATCGCATATGTAACACAATCTCATAATTATTATAGAAATATTATTTTTTATAACCATTTACCTCTATTATAAACATATATGTGTTTAAACCGTCGCTTTTGATATCTTGCTAGAACTGTTACGCTCCAGTAATGTAATTCTTCCTTCCTTCTGTAATTGAGTGGTTTCGTGATTACTTGTAAATTAATTATGTTTTCAACTTGGTACAATACGTTTGCTGGCGTTTCACAAGGTGGCTTTCTATCTCCTCTCCTTTTTTCAATTCTTGTGAACTCAATAACAAACCAACTTCTCTTTACCATCTATATGAAAACGATTTACAGATTTGTACTTACGCTTACTTAGGTGATTATGGGCAGCGGTAGTTACTTACCATCAGGTGAGCAACATGTACGTTTGCCCCCTGTGTTGTAAAAAACTTAGGCTTCTATAGACAAATTAAATGCTCCTATTACTTTAAAAACTAGGAACTCAAACATACAAGTAATTGGAGTAAGGCTTTTGAACTGAAAGTAAATTGTTCCAAATCTCAGGTAGTGCTAGTAAGTAGTCCTAGGTTAATCCAAAAATAGACCATTTAATGCTAGCACCTATAACTTTTTTTTTTCTTTTACCAAAAACTTCTTATATCTGAATGATACAGAAGAACATAACCTGGGTGTGTTTTGATTCACTAATTATTTTTTGTAATTTTGGTAAAACTTTTACATTTCATTACGAAAAGTAGCGCAAAAATAATATTTTGATTCATTAACGCAAGAATATCGTAATAGCGTTAAAAGTAACACAAACTTTTACAAATGTTATGCACTGGCAACGCTGTACAGAAGTTCTTAATCTAATGTCGATTACAAGTCCTTCTGTCAATGTCATTATTGATAGATTCAAATGCCACACACACCGTTCTGTCATTTTGTTTCATAGTATGTATGTGTGTAGTAAAATCGGATCGCACGTTACGTGAGTGTGCGACGTCGCGAGTACTAATTTTTTCTTTGTACATTTTTATTTTTATAATTAAACCAATGTGAAGGAAGTGCTTAGTAACGTAATAACCCTAAGTGATACGAATTGTGATATATCAACGCAATGGCCCACAATATACGCAGTGTTTTCGTCTATGTGATTCTGTGCAATAACTCGTCATTTTGGTTGTTTGTCCATGACGTCTGCGTTTAGCGCGACAAAAAGTGGAATTTTAGTTTGATTGTGACAACTAGTGAAAACCTATATAATATAAATTGTGGTAATTGATGTGTGTTTGTAAAATGGATGAGTGTTGTCTTCATTGGAACCGTTCTGCACCAACTGGGGCCATTAGAGGTGGCTCATGAAGAAAGGGTTAGTTTACCTGTTAATGTTTACCTCTTATACCTTATACGCTTATGTTTATTGAAATACATTTTTTGTATTTAATCACGGTATTATTACGATGTATAGGCTTATCTCTAGGGTATATAGGTTATAACTATAAAATACAGTAGTTGTTTATTGAGTTTTAAGTACGTAGTGTGTATATTTTATTGGACATTGTTTCTTCTATTAATTTAATAGGCTTAACATTGTCTTAGATTGAGTTTTTATTGCACTTTGAGACTGATATGTATTATTTTTCTTTTGTTACTTTCTCTTATCCATTGAGTGAAGGGGCGGTATGGAATAGGTAGATGGCACTTTGTATGCGCACGAACGAGACAGCGCTCTACGTAGCGAATTCTATGGCCATGTTTTTGGTACATATATATGATTGCTACTTACCTTTTTAATGCCACTTTTCCAATGTAATTACTTATGTACTTTAAAGTAAAAGTGAGTACTTACTGACTCTATTCATATTTAACTATTACACAACTGGTAATATACAGTATGATTAGTGATTATTATATGTAATGATCCAACTTTTAGTGTTTTATTATTTAAAAATTTACTTATAAAACTCCCTTCAATGGGTCAATGTATTTTTTACTTATAATAGCAACTAGACACCTTTTAAGTATTTATATTAACTATTTTAACTTTAGAAGAAACTTAATATACAATAGAATATAATACTTAATTATATAATTATTATAATGTATTCATAAAATCAGTCAGTGTAGTAGCCTTGGTGATTATAACTAGTCTAGTATTTCTTGTTTTCCATTAACAGCAAGCTCCTTCATAAAACATACTAGGCTTATTTAAAACTGGTTTAAATTTTGGAAGTTAGATATGCGCCTACATATCTAACTTCATACAATATGTGCTATATAAAATTGAAAAAGCGCAGAGTATTAAAGGCATATTCTTATACTATTACAAGCATGTCTTATTAAGTATTGGACAATATTTTATAAGAATAAAACCAAACATGAATAGATGTCAGTAAGTTATTAAACAATTAAAAAACAATAAGTATAAAAAAAGTAAAAAACTTTGTTAGATTAAAAAAAAAAAGATTGGCTGACCAAGCCGCCAGTAACAAAAACTTAATTGTAAACATCCTATAATAGTAATTGATTTTATATATTCTACTTACCAATTCAGAAAGCAAGAAAAATTGGCCAGAAGCCCAGTTGTTACTCATTTCAAACAAAAATAGAATTGTAGAAGTTTATTATTTTAAAAATATAGTCTACATCTGGTAACATACAAAATTAACAAAATGCATCAGTCATAGTAATCAGAGGGAACCAATTCCATCATGTGATATCTTTTCATAAATATGATTAATGTAACCTAGGTACATTATTACATAATATTTAAGCCCATTCTAAGGTTTTAAGAGAAAAATTAAAAAAAAAAATAACTTTAGGAATATGGTTCACATTACTAATTTATAAAATTTAAAATATGCTTCAACTAGAAAATCATATCTAGTTGTCTTTTTATAATTTTAGAGAATATACCAATAAGAAATGAGTTCAGTGAATACATCTAGATGGTGCTGCAGTGATCACTAAAAAAGTTATTTCTTATAGATTTTTTTTTTTTTTAAATAAACCTAGTGCACAACCGTTTAGCGAGGTTTTGCTAGTTCATTACTATGTTATGTAACATCCACATTTATCATGAACTATAAATTTAACAAAAACTGTGTGTTTATTTACTTAAAGACTTGATAGTCATC